AGATGTCCCAATAATAAAAGCTGAAGGCTTGAGAAGCAGACCAGGTTTTTACAAGTAAATTGGATTTCATCCAGAGTGGGTCATCAACATTCTTTGCAGGCATTCCAATTGATTTAAATTGTTGCAATTAGCACTAAAAACCATTATTTATCTATTTCAGCATTTTAATTGGTATGCCATGTACTCATTAAAATGCATACTTTTGATAAAGCTCACAATCAGTCTGCCCCTTGGCCTGAGAATTTGGCACTATAACCCTTGTGCCAGGGAGGGGTCCCTTCCTCTTGTGACAACTGGGGAGGTGGCAACCTCAGCCCAGATCATAGTTGATGACTGAAAACAATGCAATCCAACCTTCTTAACATGACCTTGACTAGACTGCACAGGTCTCTCTGTGGCCCATAAATTACAGGTAATTACGAAGAAACAGGAGAGAGGCTCATTCTCCTGAGTCATCAGCCAAGTGCAACTGATTTCACTTAAAGCTGAGCAGCAGTAAAGTATATTAATATCAGTTTAATTTGTGGTAATTGAGGTAGCAATAAAGAATTATCCCTGGAGTATTTTATTCCCATGATTATCTGAGTGTTGAAACTATGGATGTGGTCTTTTTTTTTTTTTTTTTTGGTCACTGATTGTATAAAATGTCCTATCTCTCCCAACAGGAACGTAGTGTTATTAGCATCTGGCAGACAACACTGTTCAGCCATTTCTTCTGTCCCCTGGATGCATTTTTATTAGCTGAACTATCAAGTAACCTTATTTATTATTCTAGATAGAAGCATTTTGATCTCATTAACATGGATAATTTTCTCCAAACTTATGTAGTCATACTGCAGCCAAGGCTCCCTTTATGACAATTAAGATATACTGTTTTTTTTTTTTTGTCTCATGCCCTACTATACAATTAAGATACCATTCAAATCAGTAAATTTATTAGTATATTAACACATTAATTGGATTACAAACACATCCTCTTACTTCTGAAATGTTTATGATTTAATTGACTTGTTTAAACTAATTTTCATCTCCCTGTGCAATTATAACTTGTTGTTAATTGAACTTATTTACACATGGAATACTGATTCTGCATTCCCTTGTACCAAAGAAATACATCTAAAAGGCTCATCCGAAGGTTAGATTTTTGGCTTCATTCTTTGGACACCTGAAACTGCTGCTAGAGATAATAACTATCATGCAATATTCATTTGCTGAAATATGTAAGATTTAGTTGCAGTAAATTGTAGAAGAACTAAGATTCAATTCATTTGTAATTATTCATGCACACTACATGTGTAAGAGTTACTATGTAAAAAATATTCTGTTACTGTCTTCCCTTATTTAGTCAGGGTTCCATAACTGCTATGGGCATGTCCACTGTCATACAGTTTACGAGAACACAGGGAAATGTTTGGGAATGTGTGCATTCTGGGCTATTATTTCCAAGTCAAGAATTGCAGATTTTAAAGGGACACAAAAAAGCAAATGCACACATTTATAGACAGGAATTCTAAATGTATTATAACACCTAATGGCAATGTTGTTTATTCACAAGGTTAAAATCATAGTTTGAGCCGGCGCCGCGGCTCACTAGCCTAATCCTCCGCCTTGTGGCGCCGGCACACCGGGTTCTAGTCCCGGTCGGGGCGCCGGATTCTGTCCCGGTTGCCCCTCTTCCAGGCCAGCTCTCTGCTGTGGCCAGGGAGTGCAGTGGAGGATGGCCCAAGTGCTTGGGCCCTGCACCCCATAGGAGACCAGGATAAGTACCTGGCTCCTGCCTTCGGATCAGCTCAGTGCGCCGGCCGCATCGGCCATTGGAGGGTGAACCAACAGCAAAAGGAAGACCTTTCTCTCTGTCTCACTGTCCACTCTGTCTGTCAAAAAAAAAAAAAAAAAATCATAGTTTGAGTCTGTAACTGTGTTATCATAGAAAGAAGTAGGGCTGGTGCTGTGGCTTACTTGGTTAATCCTCTGCCTGTGGCGCCAGCACCCAATAGGGATGCCTGGTTCTAGTTCCGGTTGCTCCTCTTCCAGTCCAGCTCTTTGCTGTGGCCTGGGAGTGCTTGGGCCCCTGCACCTACATGGGAGACCAGGAGGAAGCACCTGGCTCCTGGCTTTGGATTGGCGCAGTGCTGGCCGTGGCGGCCATTTTGGGGGTGAACCAACAGAAGGAAGACCTTTCTCTCTCTCTCTTTCTCTCTCTCTCTCATTGTCTAATTCTGTCAAAAAAATCATAGATAGAAGTAGCTCATAATGATTTGTAAACAGAATTGTTTATAATATTCTTGAGGCTCTTTAACACTATGATTACCCAACTGCAGTTTTAAATTTCCTCTTTTCCATTATTTCTCATGTGAACTCTAACTCATAGAGAAGTACATGAAACAAAGATGAGTACCTGCCCACTGGTATAAGGAAAATATGAGCAATCTGCCTGAACTCTCCTTACATCTCTTCTGATGCCTCTCTATAAAGGTCACTACTATGCTGATTTTTTTGGAAATTACTTTATTGCTTTTCTTTATAAATTTACACCTAGGTATACATTCCTAAACACTATAGTATAGTTTTTTCTGTTTAACTTTTTCTGAACATTATCAAGTATACTTTCTTTTGCACCAGGATCTATTAGCTCAAAGTTGCTGAGTCTGTATTCAATATGTAAGTTAGTGTGTGTAGCTGTAGTTCACTCATTTATCACTGTGTCATATTATATTATAGGAATATAATATAACTGATATACCAATTCTACTGTTGAACATTCTGTCTTAAGGTTGGAGCCACAAAATACAGTGCAGGTCTTGATTATATACTTTAGAAAAAACTTGCTGGGGCATAGTAGTACAATTTAGTTCTTGAAAGTAGTTTATGAGAGAATTTCCATTATTTGGCATTCTTGTTAACCTTCATGTGGTCAATCATTTTACCCACTTTAATGGTACATTGTTGTGATTTTAATTTGTAATTGCCTGATAAGTACTGAAGTTCAGACCCTTTTCATATTTGTATTGACTGGTTGGATAATCCCTTTTGTGCAGTACCCAGTAAAGTCTTTTTCCTGCTTTTCTAGGGAGTTTTTAATGGACTTTTTCTCACTGGCTTCTAGAAAATTTTGTTTATTCTGCATGCAAAATATTTTGATATATATATATATATATATATATATATATCTTGCTATGTGTGATGCCTTTCACATAAACATACCTTTTGGGGGCCGGCACTGTGGTGCAGCGGGTTAAAGCCCTGGCCTGAAGTGCTGGCATCCCATATGGTTTGAGACCTGGCTGTTCCACTTCCGATCTAGCTCTCTGCCATGGCCTGGGAAAGCAGTAGAAGATGGCCCAAGTCTTTGGGCCCCTGCACACACATGGGAGACCCAGAAGAAGCTCCTGGCTCCTGGTTTTGGATTGGCTCAGCTCTGGCCATTGCGGCCATCTGGGGAGTGAAGCAGCTGGTGGAAGACCTCTCTCTCTCTGCTGCTCCTTCTCTCTCTGTGTAACTCTGACTTTCAAATAAATAAATAAATAAATAAATCTTTTAAAAAATACCTTTTGGTGAACTGAAGCACAGTTTATTCATTTCCTTTTGTTTTGAAGTTATGAAGATACTGCTATATGACTTTCTACAAGTAGATTGTGTTGTCATTTATGTTTAAATATATAATTGAGTTAGAATTGATTTTAGCATAAGGGTGAGGACATTGTTTTTACTTGAGTTTATAAGATTACTATTTCAAGAAATGCTTCCATTTTTATCTGAATGGTGAAATTTGCTACAAAAATGTTGATCTCTTTTTAAACTTTGTTAGTAAAATCTGAAGCTGTAACCTTCTCTCCCCCTTTCTATTTCTAATATTAGAGATTGTGTTGTATCTCGGCTTCCAACAGTGAACTTTTTTTAAAATCAGTTTTTGTTGAATTTAAAAAAAGAAAAACTCTGGCTTGTTAACTTTCTAAATTATTTGTTCATTTTTAATTTCATTTAGTTATGTTTTTCTTCTGCTTTCTTTGGATTTTGAACATCTTTCCTATGATCTTAAGGTAGGAATGTATGTCAGCATTTAAAGCTAACCATTTTCTCTAAGCACAACTTTAACTGAATTTATAAACATTGCTATATGGTATTGTCATCATTTAGGGAGTACTATTTTCTAATTTTTTTGTTTTTTAAGTTTTCTTTTAAAATATTTTATTTCAGAATTATTTTAAATTTACAACAAAAAAATTTTAGGTAGTAATAAAAAGAGTTCCCTTTACTCCTCATCACATTTCCCCTGGCAACTCATGATATTAGCAATTTGTCACAGTTAGTCAACTACACCAGATTCCCCTGTGAGATTTTCTTAATCTAGATTTTTAGAAGTATGTTCTCAGGGGCTGGCATTGTGGCATAGTGGACAGGTAAACCCACCGTCTGTTGTTTGTGAACTCAAGAGGCTTCCATAGCCTTGGCAGCTCATGACAAGAGCCTCAGGGATCACTAACATCATAAATAGGAGTGTCAATTATTAAATCAACAACAGGAGTCACTGTGCACTTGCTCCCCATGTAGGACTTCTGTCCTTAATGTATTGTACTATGAGAATTAACGGTAAAACAAATCTTCAAACAGTACTATACTTTGTGTGTCTGTGTGGGTGCAAACTGTTGAAATATTTATTCAGTATAGAGCTGATCTTCTGTATATAAAGATAAGTAAAAATGAATCTTAATGAAGAATGGAATGGGAGAGGGAGTGGGAGATGGGATGGTTTGCAGATGGGAGGGTGGTTATGGGGGTAAGGACTGCTATAATCCAAAAGCTGTATTTTGAAATTTATTAAATAAAAGTTTTCTATTAAAAACAAATAAATAAATCTTTTTTTAAAAAAGAAGTATACTTCAACATACAAATATCGAACATTCTTAGATCTCTTATTGATTTTTAAGTTAATTTTATTGTATTCAAAGAACATATCTTACATAATTTTTAAAAAATTAAAAGAGGTAGGCATTTGGCATAGAAGCTAATATGCCACTTGGGATTCCAACATCCCTTATTGAAGCTCCTGAGTTTGAATTCTGGCCCTGTTCTTGATTCCAGATGGTTCAAGGAGTTGTTCCTTGCCGTCCATGTGGGAGATCTGGATTATGTTCCTGGTTTCCATTACCTGCTGACCCATCCCACCTGTTGCTGGTATCTGAGTAGTGAGCAAGGATACAGGGTTGATGTTCTCTCTCTTCCTTTCAAAGGCCGAGAGAGAGAGAGAGAGAGAGAGAGAGAATATGATGTTTAGAACAGTTTCAGATTGATAAAAGAACTGAATAGTAAGTGTCAAACACTCTTGTATACTCCACAACCCCTTTGAGCATGCTGTTACTACTTTCTGGACTTCTGTCATATATATGGCAGTGTCTTTATGAGTAACATGTTATTTCAGTGTGGTGCCCATATAACAATTAATGAACTGATATTGATACATCAATGCTAACTGAAGTTCGTACTTCAGATTAACATTAACGCTCATTGTGTTGTATTTATTTCTGTAGGTTTTAACAAGGCTTAAAATATATTTACCACTTCAGTCTCATACAGAATACTTTGTCCACCAGATCCCCTCTTTTCCACCTATTCATCCTGCATCCCAATCCTTTGAGACATTGGCAACAAAGGAGATTTTTACTCTACTGTTTTACTTTTTCCAAAATGTCTTAAAATCTTACAATACTTAGCCTTTTCATATTGGTTTATTTCACTTAGTAATTTGCATTTAATGTTCCTTCATGTCTTTTGTGGCTTGATAGTTCATTTCTCTTAAATCACTGAATAATCTATTAAATCTATTCACCTGCTTTAAAAAAATGTGCATATACAGAAGGATATCTTGGTTGCCAGTAGTTTTTGGTGACTCTGAATAAAGCTGCTATAAATATTTATGTTCAGGTTATTGTTTGGACATGTATTTTCATCTCATTTGTATAAATACTGTGAAACATGATTGTTGGATGATATAGAAACTATGTTTAGTATCAGAAATTGGCACCCTACCAAAATGGCTGTACCATTTTGAATTCCCACCAGGAATAAATGAGTGTTCTTATTGCTTTATATGCTTGCCAGAATTTTGTAATGTTAGTTTCATTACTTTTTTTTTAACCAATCTGATAGGCATGTAATGATATTTTGTTGCTTTGATTTGAAATGCCCTCACAGTCTGTGATACTGAGAATCATGGATATTTGCTAGCTGAATATCTTTATTGATTAAATGTTTGTTAAGGTCTTTGTCTTTTGTTTAAGGGGTTGTTTTCTTATTGTGGAATTTTAAGAGACCTTTGAATATAAGACTTTTACAAGATATGTGCTTTGAAAATATTCTTTCATTCAGTCCCAGGTTTTTTGATTCTCTTTTTTTAAAGACAATTTTACTTTCCTGTGCTTGAAAGAGAGAAAGAAAAAGATGTAGAGATAGATAGGTAGAGATCTTTCATCTACTGCTTCATTTCCCGTATACTGACAACAGCCAAGGCTGAGCTGGCCTGAAACCAGGAGCCTGAAATTCCATTTGGGTCTCCCATAGGGGTGGAAAGGGCCCAGGCTCTTGAGCCATCATCTGTTCACTCACAGGATACATTAGCAGAAAGCAGACCAGAAGCAGAGTAACTGGGCTTGTTTTTTAATTTTAGTAGAGTCCAACTAAGCAATTTTGCTTTTAATGATCATTCTTCCTTTGGTGTTATATCTGAAAAATTATTGCCAGAACCAAGATAATCTTGATTTTCTCCCATGTTATCTTCTAGGAGTTTTATAGTTTTATGTTCTGCATTTAGTTGTATGATCCATTTTTTTTTTTTTTTTGTATTGGGAAGACTATCTTCTTCATTGAGTTGCCTTTGCTTGTTTTTCAAAGAGAAGGTGTTGATATTTATCTAGGAATATTTTAGGCTTTCTGGTCTGTTCTGTTGATTTATTTGCCAAGTCTTTGACTAGTATAACTTTGTCTTCATTTTTAGATTAATAGTGAATCTTTAAGTTAGATAGTGTCAATTTCCTGGCATTGTTGTTCTTCAGTGCATTAGTTATTCTGAATTTTTCCATACACACTTGAGAACTAAGTTGTCAGTATCCACATAACACCCTGCTGACACTTTGATTGCAATTACATTCAGCCTATAGGTCAAGTGGGGAGAAACTGATGTTTTAACCATATTGAGTCTTTATTTTAAAGTTTATTTATTTACTTAAAAGTCAGAGTTAGACAGAGGAGAGGTAAAGAGAGAGAGAGGTCTTCCATCCACTGGTTCACTCCCCAATTGGCCGCAAGAGTTGGAGCTGCGCAAATCTGAAGCCAGGAGCCAGGAGCTTATTCTGGGTCTCCCACGAGGGTGCAGGGGCCCAAGGACCTGGGCCATCTTTCACTGCTTTCCCAGGCCATAGCAGAGAGCTGGTTCAGAAGTGGAGTAGCTGGGACTCAAACTAGCATCCACATGGGATGCCGGCTCTGCAGGCAGCAGCCTCACCTGCTATGCCACAGCGCTGGCCCCTATATTGGGTCTTAACAGTTATGAACATGGAATATCTTTTCATTTATTTAAATTTGCTTTGATTTTCTTCGTTAGAATTTTTAAGGCTTTTTCATATTCATCTTATATAAAAATTAGATTTATACATAAGATTTTTCATTTTTTGATACTAATTTAAAATTTACATTTATCTTCAAGTTGTAATCATACATCACTAGTATCTAGTAATAGAACTGCAGAACCTGGCACCTTTGGGCTCTGTTGGTGGGTCCTGATGGAGAAATAGGCTCATGAGAAGGGAGGGAAGGACGGCACCATGTACCAAGCAGCTGGGAGAATCTCATTGACCTACTTGGTTTCAGGGCAGTTTTCTGACTTCTCTTTTCTTACTAGATAAATCCACTTGAACAAATGGCTTATCCTTTCAGTGTTTGTTATTGTGAGGAACTCATACCTTCTATGGTCAATACTATGCCTCACAGTATGTTGATTTTCTGGGCAAGGTGCATCATCATCTCTCTGAGGATGATATGCCAACCTTGTAAGCTCTTCTGCGTACAATCCTACGTAGAGTCAGGGTCCTCTTTTTCTACTTGGATCAGAGGCAGTGTCCTTGTTCTAGACCACAGGGCCCGAACCTTAGGAGTGCTGTGCTCCTACTGTCCTCAGTCGGTCTTTTTGTTCTCCAAGGGATGTTGTGATAATGGAAATGACAGTATCTCTCTTGAACACACTCTGATCTTATGCTCTATGCCCTTGGAAGAAAAATCAACATGAGTCAGCACTTTTTCAATGGTACAATCTTTAGGCCATGTTGGTGGCTTTCCCTATTGTTAGAGCTTTGCCCTCTAATGAGATGATCTTTCAGATACAGTGTTACTTGCTCCTTCAACAGACTTGGTGGTACGTAATTCCTCAGGAACCGAATCCCCTTGATTTCCGTTTGGAAGCAGTGGATACTATGACCTCGGTGGTTTCCTTGTAAACTCTTCTGGTGCATCTTCACTGCTCTGCAAGGCACGGGGCCTGGAATCGCCTCCCTAATAGCAAGGAATTTGAAGCATTGTTAGGATTCAGTTCATAGCCCTGCTTCAGTGGAAATGATTCTTTCTCCTCTTTTCTACAAGGACTTCTGGATACCTTCTCTCTTTATTATACATATCCCTAGGTATTCCTGAAAAACAAGCTGGAGGACAAGTTTCTTACCACACACGATAGCTTACAGCCTAACCTCAGAGAGAGGTCCAAGATGATGAAGAGAAACACATTTTTCATGGAGAACACAGTGTGAGGAAGAGGAGGGGGAGAAACAGTCTTCTGCCAGATGATCACCTCCATGAGAAGGCCAACATAGGCAAGCAAGAGTCTACTGTCCCTAAAAATGTAGGGATAGAAGAGTATAGTCCATGGGGCCATCAGAGATGATCTCCCAGGGACAATAATAAGTAGAGGGAAAGAAGTCAGGTGGACACAGCCTTTAGGTAGACAATGAGATAGGGCAGCTGAGGGCTTGCATGTGCAGAATTCAGTGGGATCTATGAGTCAGTATGTTGAGAGAGTGATTTTCTTCCAGGGTGGGGTTAGTGATGGCATCTACACCTTGACTTTTCTTCACCCTGAAAGCCTCAGGGTCTGGGATCAAGTTCTCATGTCCTTCTCCTTAGATAAACCTCTGATAATCAGTGTTCATGCATAATGTGACTTTCTAACCAAAATATGTGGGATTCTGTGTTCCTTTCATGTTAACCTTTTTTTTTTTAATGAGGGTGTAAAAACTCAAAGGTGCACTTTTTGTACCCATTTTGCTGTTAAAATTTTAGTCAGTTCCTCTTCTGAGAACAGGTGCCAAATCTTGGGCCCATGGGTGTGTATGTTCTCTGTTAGGGGAGATTCTGTTCCCTGAACGAGAACTCATATTTCAGTATCTGATCAGATGATTTTATAAGCTTAGCTTTGCTCTCCAGACCAGCCCTCCAATAGGGGCCAGGTTGAGATGCCTTATGTGTGAAAGGGAAAGGTGAATACTCATTGAGTAACTCTCTGATACCAGAATCCTTCTATACTCTAAACAATTCTTCCAAAGATTGTAAGTCCCAGTGTTTGAAATTTTATCCTGGAATTTTATACTGCCCCCAAATGATTTTGTGATGACTCTGCCATTTTATCACATTTCCTTAAAGGGAAATGTTCTTATCTTTCTGGAGAGGGCCCATCTGGAAGTCTGATGTGAAAACATAACTGATTTAGGAAACCTGAACGGAGTTACAGAGAAAACAAAAGTCTCTATATGCTGGGGACTGGATCTTGCTTTTCTTTACCCGTTTTCTTTGTCTTTTTACAAATGAATTCTTCTGGACCAAGGGAAGAAAAAGAAGAGCTACCCACAATACTGGAAGAATGAAGTAGATAAAATTATTTCCCCACATTTTTGGTTTATACAGAGTGGTTTCATTGCCTTAAAAATTCCCTGTGCTTGATTTCTTGATTCCTTCTATTCCACTCCATAACCCCTTGCAAACTTTGAATTTTTAAAAATTGTTTCTGCAGTTCTGTCTTCTTCCAGAACGTCATATAGTTATAAGAAAATAGTTTAACCCTTCAAGAATGGCTTTCTTCACTTAGTAATAAACAAGCAGGATTCTCTTGCCCATCTTGTTCTGCAGTGCCTCATCTTGCAGGTCCATTTCTCTGAAGTCTCCTCACACACTCAACATAATTTCA